CCGCTCCGAATCCACCAGTACTCCACCCTCTCCTCGGAGCGATTAGCCGCCCCGTTCACGCCGATCGACACCAGCTAGTGACCCCACTTCTGACCTTTCCGTTGAGCTTCATGACATGTAATTGCAAATGAATTTGATGCAAAATACATTGTGCGAGTAATTCCATTATCAACATGATTTCAATGCGGTATTGGCTTTGATTTACTCCAATCAAAAATTTCCTCAGCTGCCTCTCTTACCTGATCATGCTGCCAATCCAATTCCGAATACCCAGGATGACAATTAACGTCGTCCATCAGGTAAGTCCCCTCTCCATTTTGTTTCTATTTCACATTGAGGACAATGTTTCAGTTAATTTGGGGAGTGAATAAATTTGCTTACGTTGTTGAGTTTCTCGAATGCTTGCATATGATTTGCTTGTTTTATGTGTTCATGTGTTTAGTGTTTAAAAAAAAATTATATATGCATTTTCATCTTCAGCATGCTTGTGTGAGTTAGATAGTCTTGTTAGCTATTATGAATATATTTGAGAGCATGTATTAGTTTATGGATTGTGGATGAATCATATGTTTTAATTGGATTTTCTACTTATACATATGAAGCGGTATAACATTTATGCACGAGTATTAAGTTGAGCGTCGTACAGGAACATGAGGGCTCATGCACATAGGATAAAGAGATGACTTAGGTGTGTAATCTCGTAACCCGTGAATGTCAATACCCTTTAACCGTATACCTTATAATTTGGGGCATTCTAACCAGCGAAAGAAATGATTTAAGATTGTGGTGATTCCATACGTGTGAAAAAGATTGTGTGGAGTGTATTTAATTTTCTGGTATAAGCTTGGTGATGACCGAATGCTAGAAATCTAACCCTATAAATTTCACTTCTTTTTATTAGAGAAGAAGTATTGCACGTATTCAGCTAAGTCTCACACCTGCACATTTTTTACTCGAGTTATTAAGTCCGTAGGGGTCTCTTGAAACCTGGTACCCTTTGGTATACAAAAAAATCGAGAAATTACTGACCTAACACTTGCTACAGGGATCAAGAAGTGGAAAAAAGGTGAGGTAAAAAAATTAATTAAATAAATAAAAGAAAAAAAGAAAAGAAAAGAAAAAAAGAAATTGATCTTGGAGGCCTAGATAACTACTGGGTTTGAATTACTAAGTATAAACTAGATTGTTGAAACACTCATAAATTGGGAGAGTCACTACATGAATGAATTGTTGACGTTGCCGGTTGAACTAACCCAAATTAGAGTGGTGTGAGAAAATTTTAAGCAAAACTGAACTTTAGAATTACACCATGGTAAGAGAATAAAAGAATTAAGTTTGGATGTATGTGAATCTTACGAGTGAAGAAAGGAAATAATTGACCATTGAGGGTTGGGAAGTGAACCAACTTGTGAATGTACGGTGCTACGCTTGACCCTCCACACACACACACACACCCGCTTCGAGTTGTATGAGTGAAAGTTTGGGTGATTTTAACACCATTCATAAATATAATATAATGTTATCAATACTGAGCCAAAAAGACAAGCTGTCTAACTGACTAATTGTGGGGTATCGTCCTTGGATGATTTTACTGTTTGGATTGTTTGTTTCCCCAAGGACTAGCAAATGGTTAAGTTTGGGGGTATTTGATGAGTTTGTTTCACTCATAATTTTTGCACAATCGTAGCTTTATTAAATGCTAGATCTTGTGAGTATAGAACGATTTTGATGCGTTTGTTAGTGTTGTTTTGAAAATTAGGAGAAGCGATGTGAAAAGAAGTATTAAAGTGGACGAAGATGCCAAAAACACGAAATTGGGGTAGAAAGATGGCGCTTAGGCGCTGCATTCATAGAGCCTAGGCGCTACGAAAGTGAAAAAAAATGAAATTTGGACCTGAGAGGCAGCACCTAGGCATCCCAACCATAGCGCCTAGGCACCGAAACCACAGCGCCCAGGCGTTATAACCAGCGCTTAGGTACTGTCTCGTAGCGCAAGATTTAAGGCTCGTTTTTTGGGCCGTTTTTAGATCCATAAAAACTCTACTTCTACATAAAACGGAGGGGGCACATATAAATACATCTTCCTCATACTTTTGGAGGGTTATGGACATATTGGGGAGAAAACAACAAGAAGGGAGATTTAAAAGAGAAATTCAAGAAGATTAACACTAAGCAATTGGAGATTAGAAGCATTGATTGGAAGAGGAAAGAGATCTTGGTGCAAGAATTTTACTTTTTCTTCTACATCTTTATTACAAACTCGGTGATGTATTCTAAGACAATTTTTTACTTTTCTTCTCGTATTATGAGTAGCTAAATTCATTGTTAGGGGGAATAATGTAACCAATTGGGATCTTTTACATTCTCTTATTAAGACTTTCAGTTTTTAATTCTTACATGTGTTGATTTTGCTATGAGTTGAATGCATTAAATTATTTGATCAACAATTTGATGATTTTTGTGAATTCTTTACAAATAGAGATATGAGTTTAGGATTTAGACCATGTAGTAAAATTCAATACATTGGTATAACGAGTAGAGATACCTATACCATTTATTGCTGTCATAATTGAATTCCTAAAACATAGAACTCGTTTAACTAAGTTGAATTTGCATAGAGATATGCAATTTAATTAGTTGAATAGGCTCAATGCAAACTCGAGAGGGGTAAATTGAATACAATGGGAGAATTCGACCGAGCGCTACATTAGAATTGAGTTTTAATTTGAAATGTAAAGGTGATCTATTGGTGAAGTTATTCTACCCTAACATCCATTCATTATTTGATTCTCCAACCAATCGTGTGAACATTCATTTATTTTCTAGAATTTAGATTAAAACCCAGATTTTACGACCTTTGATTCGTGTTAGTCAATTAGTAGTTAAAGAAAGATTGAATTAAATGCTAGAAAATAGTCCTTGTGGGATCGACAAACCGGACTCTTAGGTCCACTATTACTTGTTACGGGTCGCACACTTGCGAAACAAAATTTTACAACATTTGTCATTTGAGAAATTATACAAAATGAGTGCAGTATGCAGCTATCAATGATTTTGAACCCTTACAAAGAAATTAAAATTAAAGAGAAAAAAATGTGTTTGCCCTTCTTCAAGAGCTATCAATTCAAAAGATATTTTGATTATATTGCCACCATAATTTATTTTTGTTTCACTACCTTTTAAGTCTATCCCAATTCAAATACATTTTTAATAAATACAGCACCTGAATTTGACTAATATAACCAACGAAATTAACAAAATAAATACCCCAACAATTTCACCAATTTATCTGTACACCACATTAAATTTCAAGAAATGTCGAATCTCCAAACACGCCCCCCCCCCCCCACCTTCCCCCATTCCAAACCCCCCCCCCCCCCCCCCCAATTGCTCACCATAATATACCAAACCACCTTCATTATTCAGTGCATCTCTTCTTAGCAACGAATATCCTTTTTCACGAGGTACCGAAGAGGAAAAATAATGGAACCAAAGTTGATAATGATGGTAGCGCTATTAATATTAGTACTAGCCCCGGTCACCACCACCACCGTAGAGTATGTCCGATCACCGCCTCAAAAAACAGTTCATTTTCCATGGAATGAAAGGCTTCGTCCCTCCTCAACAAGTAATGCCCATTTTTCATTTTAGGGGGAAAAAAGCAAATTTTTTCTTAATATTTTTTGTTTTTGTCAAGTGTTAATGTTACGAGAGAAGTTAAGGAAAGAAGTTGAACTTTGCTTAAGATTAATTGTTCTTAAATTTATTTTACTTTCTTTGTTTTTTAGGGTATTTTCAAATGAAATGTTGATTGCTCAATTCTTGAAAGAGTGGATTAATTGTGTTTAGATGCAGTATATTTAGTATATTTATGTTGATTGCTCAATTCTTGAAAGAGTGGATTAATTTAGTGTGTAGGAATTTTCAGAATTAGCGGTTTAGAAATAACGAATTATTGCTTGACTAAGCACAAATATAATGGTTTGGAATCACCATTAACCGACATAAATCTAAATCCTTTTCCTATCGCTCATAAACCATCCCTCCAACGTGCATGACAGATAATTGATAATATTTTCAATTGAAAAAAAAATGTTCTAAAAAATATAAACATAATCACTATAGTACGGAAAAGAAAATTATCTTCCATGGACAAACACAAAAGCCATCGTCAACGGAAAAGCTATGCACCATTCGCTATTGATAGAGAGGAAAAAATATATATATTTGTGGTTGAACTATAAATTATTTTATGTAAAAAGAAAAAAAAAGAATATTAAAATCCTATTTATGTAATTTAACATAAGGCATATTGTGATGCACCTAACAAAATTTGTATACCCTTAAGCTACTTCATCATTTGAATCGCTCTTACGTGACCAGATGTCCAATAAATTCTGCCCTTCCGATTTTGATAATAATTATTCCCAAGAATCTCATTTAAAAATAATGAAATCCATTGGTTTAGAGAGTGCCCAGCACAACTATATATCTGTGGGTGTTGACCTCCAAAAATGGCTCCTTCACGTGGCCAACTTATAGCTACTCCACGTATGCCTCCCTACGAAATGAACAAATGGTCAGGCGCACACGGCCGGAACCGAGGGTGGTGGTGGCGACCGTATACACTCCGACGGTCAACTCAGGTTAGGATGGTCGGAACAGTGCCTTGGAGCTACACAAATCAATCAATAAAGGGGGAGGAGAAAATATAAACTTGTTTTGGAATGCTGTGTATTGAGAGTTTCATTACCTTTGCCTCTTGCTAAACTTTGGGTATTTATAGGTGGTATGAACCGTGGGATATAGAACACGTGTATACATCTGACGGTATGAAGCGTCTGCTCATAGGCATCAATCAGTCGCGCTTGTAGAGTGGGCGGACAGTTTGTTTCCCCCGAATTGAATTGACATAAAGTTGATAAGTCACATCAAATAGCCTCATGAGGACGTCAAATCAATTTAAACCTTAGATGTAGGACAAATCTTGAATTGGCGGCGGATCTTCTAACCGGGGTCCACTTGATCCCGACCTCGGAGGTGGGATGTTTCGGCAGATCAGTAGTAGGAATCGATATATCACTTCGGAGAAGCTTCGGGAGGGTCGGAGTGGCCTACTTGATCTTGGCTTCGATGGTGAGATGACACTTCGGTATCGAGGAGGTGGGATGCTTCGGCAGATCAGTAGTAGGAATCGATATATCACTGCGGAGAAGCTTCGGGAGGGTCGGAGTGGTCTACTTGGTGGTGAGATAACACTTCGGTATCGAGGCTCGAATAATCGAGGCGTAACAATGGTCCCCCAAATTCGGGAATGAATATTTATATTATACGTGGATTTATTTTCCTAACTGGGCCGCGGCGTGGGGGTAGCTGAAACTTTTGAAAGCATGGGAGGAAACGCAGCGGCCGAGGCAATGAGCCAATGGGGCGATCGCGTTAGGTGCGTCCAAGCTTTATAAAGTTTGAGGGACTCATCTCGCACCGATGCGTTGACAGGAAAAGGTCGATGCGTGGGGAGATGGCTGAAACTTTGTAAAGCATGGGAGGAAACGCAGTGACCGAGGTGATGAGCCAATGGGGCGTTCCCGTCAGGTGCGTCCAAGCTTTGTAAAGTTTGAGGGACTCATCTCGCACCGATGCGTTGACAGGAAAAGGTCGATGCATGGGGAGATGGCTGAAACTTTGTAAAGCATGGGAGGAAACGCAGCGATCGAGGCGATGAGCCAAAGGGGGCGTTCGCGTCAGGTGCGTCCAAGCTTTGTAAAGTTTGGGGAAGGAGCTCATCCGAGGTGACCCAAACGTCCAATGATTTGACAACTGTTGCGTGTTTCCAAGGTGACAGTTGGGTACCATGCCCATTCTCCTAAAAGGCTGCTGCGGCTAGTAATTATTATTGACGACTGTTTGTAACCGAGGTGACGCGTTTCAATTTATCGTGAAAGTCACAGCGACATCTTGGGCGTAGATCAAATCTGGCATTTCATTTCAACGACCCGGATTGAGGATGCGACGAACGGTTTAGATTGATCGTATTTGAATTCAACGGTGGAGATTGGACTTGTCTTTCCTATAAAAGGCGAACTCTGGGGTTTTATCAGAGTTTCTATCTTTGCCAGACGAAAACCATAATTTGCTCTCAAATTTTCGGCGATTTTCGACGTTTTGCAAGCAACTCCGGCGAGAGAGAACGATACTTCCCACGATCCTGCACCATTTCCAGCTAGGAAAAACTTCCAAACCCATAAGTTTCAGCACCCATTTGGACTGTAAAAAATTTCTTAACAAATGGCCTCGGAAGGGAGTTCTGGTTTGGGGAGGGGCTTAGAAATAGTGAGGGTGGACGAGCCCATTGTGGCGACCTCCTCAGAAATAGCTGGGGCAATAATGGGGGGGAGAACATATGGAAGCGACCAGATAGCCCCCCGAATACTTCTGTGCATTGGGGGCGTCGGACTACCCATCAAAATTGAGGGAGGCCGACCTGGGTAGACTTAGGACAGAATATAGGATCCCAGACAGTGTAGACTTGATTCTCCCCGGGCCGGAAGAGAGCCTGTTACCCAAGGCCGGGCTGTGTGGCCATTAGTGAGGCGATCCTTAGGGCCGGACTTAGGCTGCCTATCCACCCATTCTTTAAGTTGGTGCTTAGGTCTTACGGGCTAGCCCCGACGCAACTCAATCCAAACTCCTGGAGCCAAATGGTGGGCTCCTGGATGTTGTGGAAAGAGGCGTCGTTAGGAGTGGAGATGCCCCTTTCCGTTTTCCAGACCCTCTATATACCCAAGGTTACTGCCGGGGGGGATAAGACCCGGGATTGGTACTACCTGACGTCATGGGGTTCCCACACTCCATTCGTAATCGATCTACCAAGCTCCATCAAAGAATGGAAGAGCTCATGGTACTGGGCAGCGGGGCGATGGGACACAATAGAGGGGGACCCCCTGGCGCCTCTTACAGTTCCGGCGAAGTTTTCAACACTTAGTGAGTATAGTAGTTGCTCCTTTTGTTTTCTCTTCAGTTCGGCTTGTGTTTAACAGTTATGTTTCCTTTCTTAGGTTCCCTTCCTCGGTGCGAGCTATCAACAGAGGACTTCGACACTATCTGTGTCATTTATCAGCTACCTCAGAAGAAGAGGTCCTACCACAGGCTGATCCGGAAGAACATCCATTTCATCACTCACGACTTAATGGCGTCTCAAGGTAATAGGACCGAAGCCCATACTTTTTTATTCCGAACTCCCTAGACTTGTACTAATTCCTTATTCGTTTCTTTGCAGATAACTTCAGCAAGAAGCTGCCAGTACGCCCCGACTTCAAGACCATCCAGAAAATGATGGTGAGGCACGGGCGCTGAAGGCCTCCTCCTCTTCGTATAAGAAGCAAATGGAGGAGCTGGTGGAGGCGAGTAAGAGGCTTCAGCCTCCGACGGAAGAGGAGGTTCAGGAAGACCCGGAGGCTGACCTCCAAAGGAAGGGCAAGAAGAGTGCTGCCCCCCCAGACGCCCAACTGTGGCGATGCCACCCCCAGTTTTGAGGCAGACAATTATTCCCACGGGGGTGGCCCTCCCGGAGAGAAGCCCCGCTGCGGCAGAGCCTGTCGCTGCCCCGAACACAGCGCCCCTTGCGACCGTAGCCATTGAACAAGTTCCGGGGCAGCAGAGGAGAAAAAGGGCCCGCTCCAGCAAAGTCGTCGACGCCAGTGATGCGGTCTCTGATGAGTAACATTGTTATGGAGTACCTCTTCTTTAGAGGCCTCTCTCATGGGATTGTCTTCGCGGCTGTAGCTCATCCTAAGAACTTGGATTGTAATTCGACTTTCTTTTTCAAGAAGCCCCCCTTTCAGGGTCAGTCGTCGGTTTTCCGGTGTCTTCTCCGATGGGGAACGCAAAACTTCAAATGGGGAGTGAGGTTCCCACAGACGGCGCCAAACTGTTGACCTCCAAAAATGGCTCCTCCACGTGGCCAACTTATAGCTACTCCACGTATTCCTCCCTGCGAAATGAACAAATGGTCAGGCGCACACGGTTGGAACCGACGGGGTGGTGGCGGCCGTATACACTCCGACGGTCAAGTCAGGTTAGGGTGGTCGGAACAGTGCCTTGGGGCTACACAAATCAATCAATAAAGGGGGAGGAGAAAATATAAACTTTTTATGGAATGCTGTGTATTGAGAGTTTCATTACCTTTGTCTCTTGCCAAACTTTGGGTATTTATAGGTGGTATGAACCGTGGGATGTGGAACACGTGTATAATCTGACGGTATGAAACGTCTGCTCATAGGCGTCAATCACTCGCGCTTGTAGAGTGGGCGGACAGTTTGTTTCCCCCGAGTTGAATTGACATAAAGTTGATAAGTCACATCAAATAGTCTCATGGGGACGTCAAATCAATTTAAACCTTAGATGCAGGACAAATTTTGAATTGGCGGCGGATCTTCTAATCGGGGTCCACTTGATCCCGACCTCGGAGGTGGGATGCTTCGGCAGATCAGTAGTAGGAATCGATATATCACTTCGGAGAAGTTTCGGGAGGGTCGGAGTGGCCTACTTGATCTTGGCTTCGGTGGTGAGATGACACTTCGGTATCGAGGAGGTGGGATGCTTCGGCAGATCAGTAGTAGGAATCGATATATCACTTCGAAGAAGTTTCGGGAGGGTCGGAGTGGTCTACTTGGTGGTGAGATAACACTTCAGTATCGAGGCTCGAACAATCGAGGCGTAACAGTGGGTTCATCGTTTATTGCTTCCATGAAATTTCTTGCTCTTTTCGTTCAATTGTAAGTTCAGGTTTCTCCGTATACATGAATATGCTGAAAGATACTAATCGCGATTGAAAAAAACTTGTGATTTTGGACGGCGCATCCTTAATCTGGTAGGATAAGAAGTAGATCTATGTGTCCTGTGTGTGATGGGATTTCTAATTTCTTCAGGTCAAATGTAGATCTATGTGTATTATGTTTGCGATGAGATTTTTTTTTTTTTCCAAGTTATCTAGTATTAGCAAGCCATGGCTCGACAACGGCTGTGTTGTATGAGTTTACAACATTATCACTATGATAATCTTGGGTCACTGTTGTTGATTTTATATCTCGTAAATGTATGAAATTTTATAACTAATAAAGTGGATCTAAAAGTCCGAATTATTGGTTCAGCTATTTCTAACTTCAATTCGAATGTGTTTACTTTCTTTAAGTATTTTTTTTATTTTAAATATACTAAAACAATTAACACTAGCATAAATGGATTTTTAATGATGGTTAATAGAATTCACGAGTTCAAGATAGATGTTCCCTTAATCTCAAACGTCAATTTTTATAATCACATATGCCTAATCGAAATCTTCAGAATTAATTGATTTCCTCTCTTGAATTCAAACCAATCATACCCAATTAAGTCAACTCACATCTCTATGTGAATCATAATAAACTTTATTCAAGAGCATTCAATCATTAAAAAATTCATTTAACGAACAACCATAAAATTGCACATATGACCTTTAATTCAAACTCCAAGTCTTTACTATGTTGTATAAAAAAACAGCTCAACTATCAATAGGAATGTCAACGAGTCCAGTTGAGTCGACTTGCGAGCCGATACTCAAAACTTGAGCTCGGCTCGAGTAAAAGTGGTTCAAGCTTTTTTTGGCCCAGCTGAATCGAGTTTTTGCTTAGTCAAAAAATTGATGTTCGATCCGAACTTTCGACTTGGGCATTATCGAGTCCAGCCTAGTCGTAATTTATTTTTTTAATTGGTTGCTTGCTGAAATTTGTAGTTACACATGGTTGTCGATTTTATTTTTTAAATATAAATATGCTTACGAGCAAGCTCGAGCTCAAGCCAATACTCCAAAATGGGGCATGGCCCAAGCCTTGGCTCGAGTTTTCCGTGGTGCCCTAGGCGGCAGCTAAATTGACACCCCTACCAATCAATATTCGTCTGAAAACAATTTTTAACATCCAAATATACCAAATTCGTCTACTAAGAGATTAAGTATGACCCATTTCAAAATATTAAAAAAAATGTTTAAAACTTCAAAAATCAGATATTGCTTACATTTTTTATGGAATAATTGATTAAAAATATATTTATTAATTAAATATATTAAGGTCACAACTTTATACCATTTGATCACAAGTTATTGAATTAATTGGTCACAAATTATTTCTCGATCACAAATCAAATATTTTGTAAGTCACATTTTATTAATTTTTCACAAAATCACAAATTTTATGAGTAGTACTTATTTAATTATCACAAATTATCAATTTAATAGATCAAAAGTAATTTTTCAGTTTCAACTTAATAAATTATGAGTCACAATCATATTTTTTAGATCACTTATCACAAATTAACTAATTTATTAGTCATAATTAATCAAAAAATTGGTCACAAATATCCCCTTCCCATCCTCACCAATGACTACTGCACCACCGCCATGACCACCACCACCACCACTACAAAGATCCAGTTACTATTGTCACTAGCATCACATATGATCGATGAAGCATCAAGTAGTGGTTGTTAGTGGTGGAATAGCCAACTACAATCCATGCTACGTTGCTCACAAGCGCTTTGTTTTGGCGCTTTACCACCATGCGCTGCAATGTCGTCCAATGGCACTCACAACTTCTTCAATCAGCGTTGCACCGTCGAGCGCTGTGGCAAAGTGCTGGAATGAAGCTTCTTGGAAGTGTGAGAAGGAAGAAGGGAGAGTCGATGCCGGCCCCTTCTCTCAAGGAATTTTGGATTGACTACACCACCGGACCTAGACAAATAAAAAAGAGACGACGAATGGAGAGAGAGAGAGAGAGAGAGAGGATTTGAAATTGGGGATGGGATAGGTATGGGGTGAGATTGAATTGTAGATTAATTATAATATGAATTAATCATCTGAATTGTGAATAAATAAACCTAATCTCTAATTTATAAATTGTGATCTTTAAATTCATGTTGGTGAGTAATTTCCACAAATCAAAAGGAATAAGAATTTAACTCAACAAAAAATTTAATTTTAACCAAACTAAGTTCTTATGGGAATTTAGGATAAGACACTACAACAATTAAATATTTATTTTCACATTCATGATACACAAATAATTTGCTATCAAATTAAGTACTTTATTTCATATATATTTAACTAAATTTAAAGGAACATCCATAACTAAATTAGTTTATTTTATAAAAAATAATATTTATTGATAAAGTAAAAATATATGACTTATTTTTAACCATGTTTGACTAAACTTAACCGTAATTAAATTTTTTCTTATGTATTTTACATATATTACTTATATACACTTGTGAGTTAAAAACTTATTTATTGCTATTATCAAAATAAATAATTTGCTCTAATTGAATTTCATCAATAAAAAATATTTTTTAAAACTTTATTTATTTATAAATTAATTTGATTATAAGTATATTATTGTAGTGAATCAAACATGGATGTAGAATAAATTAATTTTCTTTTGACTCTATGTTTCTGGTCATTTTGTTTTCACTTGAGGTGGCATTCGAGTGTATTGGTATAAAAAAATTCATACTTACTTAGAATAGTATTTTGTAACCAATGACGTTCAATCATATTTTTATTGTGTTACTGACCAAAAGTTTCAATTGTTTAAAATGATTGGTAATCGAATTTCTGTAGGTGATTGATAAGTATATATCATTTGCTCATTCTTATCATGCTTCCGTCCTTTATATATTTTTTAAAGATGACATCGATTCAATTCCAAAGATATAATTTATTATCTTACGATTAAAATCTAATTTTATATTTGCTTGAGTATTGAAATATTCGTTTTAATAATTGTCTGGCACCACAACTGACGAGTACTTTCTTTTCTTTTGAGATTAAGTCAAGCCTTGCATCCTCAAATGGATATGTTTCACACTACGCATTATTGATTACTGCTTGGCTTGCAATATAACAGAAAAATATTTAACCAAATGTCATAAATATTCATTTGATCCACCGGGGAATGGTGAATCTCTTGCTGATCTTACGAAAGGATAGGTGAAAATCCCAGCTTTTTCGTGGCGAACTATTTCGAAGAGAGCAAAGACAAGGAATGATTCTTTCCCCTGTGTAAGGACACGGATACCATAATGCAATTATATGGTCGTCATTTACCGTGAGCTCTTCACTTTGCCAATGCATTAAGATCAATACATCATAATTTCACTATATAATAGATGTTGGGCCCTCTGATATCTGTAATATATTAAATATTAATTTACTCTAATTCAATTATTGCAAGAATAACTTACTTTTTATTTTTCAATATATTTAATTATTTTAATAATACCCCACTTATATTTAATATATTAATTATTTGAACCATTTGAACAATATTATCGTACCACGTCAGTTTGTGACAGTAACACAAACGAAACAAAGATTACTGAAAACTCTATATACAACAAACCTTACGAAAAGAACACATTGCAAACCAAATACAGCATAACAGTCACACTTATATATAGCCAGACGAGACCTACATTAACAAACTCGAAAACCTAGTACGTTCTACTCTGTAAGGTACAGACTCAGATGATTCATCTCTAAGTTCTGAACTTGGACTCGTCTATCTCGATTCCTTCCTCCCGTGCACGTTCTTCTCCTGGCTTGTCCCCAGTGCTCAGTCCACCTTTGCGACCCATTTCTTGATATCCTTCAGTTCCCAGCTGCTCCTTCCTCGTCTGCCCTCCCTTACTCCTCCCTAAACAGTATTGAAAAAAAAGAGAAGTTAAAATATATAATGGACTGTATTTGATTATTCTGTGAAATATAGTGTAACAATTGCTCTCGTCGAGTAAAAAAATGGTATTACCTTCAGCAAGGTGTTCTTGGGCCTCGAGGCTTTTTCCGCCGGTGCCACCCGGCACCACGGTCTCACCGTGCTTTGCCCTGGCGTCAAGCTCGGCTTTTTCTTGCTGGGAAGACATTTTTAACTGCCTAAGTAAAACTATGTGATTTTCACTGCTTTGAACAAATTCAACTGATAACGACAAATGCTTACAGCATGAAGTGTGTGTATATATATATCTACTGGTGAAAGGATTAGATGACACGTGGTAGCTCAGCGGCTAGTCTGGAGGAAGAATTTGTGACACGTATGCTGCAAATTGACACGTGGCTTAGAAGTCGCTGTTTAAGTGACGCGTACTTCTGAGTCATGGAGGAAAGTTAATAGCAACTTTTTTAATATTTAATTAAAAATTAATTTTTCATGAATTTTAATTAAAGTTGATTAAATAAGTGGTTAAAAAATTAAAACAATTAAAAATACATAATTATATATATAGTCCCCGTTTGGTAGTGCTTTTTCATCCCAAAAAATTAATTTTTTGACTGTTATTTTATTATTTTAACCATCATTTTTTACTTCTTTATTCAAAGATGGCCCCCGGTCAAAAAATCAATTCTCATAATCACTACCGAAGGACTCATAGTAAAAATTAATATTCAAGTTTATTAAAAAATTTTAAACTATACCAGAAAAGTCTTATATGTAAAGGAAATAAAACCACTAAATGTGTGATTGAAAAATTGATAAAAATTAAAATTATGTATATGTATAGTAAAAATTAATTGTCAAGTTTATTTTAAATTTTTAAACTACACCAGACAAGTCTTATATGTAAAGGAGATAACATCGCTTTTTGATTGTAAAAGGTGGACACCTATGAAGAATAATAAAATATTAATACTATTTATAATCGGTGGCTGCAATAGTCATTCTATGTTACAATTTGTTGATGAGTTTGCTTCACTCATGATTTTTGCACAATTATAACTTGATTAAATGCTAGATCTTGTGAGTATAGAACGTTTTTGATGTGTTTGTTAGTGTTGTTTTAAAGATTAGGAGAAGCGATGTAAAAAGAAGTATTAAAGTGGACGAAGAGGCCAAAAACACGGAATTGGAGCAGAAAGACGGCGCTTAGGTGCTGCATTCGTAGCGCCTAGGCGCTACGAAAGTGAAAAAAAAAAGATGAAATTTGGTGCAAGAATTCTATTGTTTCTTCTATATCTTTATTACAAACTCGGTGATGTATTCTAAGACAATTTCTTACTTTTCTTCTTGTATTATGAGTAGCTAAATTCATTGTTAGGGGAAATAATGTAATCAATTGGGATCTTTTACATTCTATTATTAAGAATTTCAATTTTTAATTCTTACATGTGTTGATTTTGCTATGAGTTAAATGCATTAAATTATCTGATCAATAATCTGATGATTTTTGTGAATTCTTTACAAATAGAGATATGAGTTTAGGATTTAGACCATGTAGTAAAATTCAATACATTGGTATAACAAGTAGAGATACATATACCATTTATTGCTGTCATAATTGAATTCCTAAAACATAGAACTCGTTTAACTAAAATGAATTTGCATAGAGATATGAAATTTAATTAGTTGAATAGGTTCAATGAGAACTCGAGAGGGGTAAATTGAATACAATAGGAGAATTCAACCGAGCGCTACATTAGAATTGAGTTTTATTTTGAGATGTAAAGGTGATCAATTGGTGAAGTTATTCTACCCTAACATCCATTCATTATTTGATTATCTAATCAATCGTGTGAACATTCATTTATTTTCTAGAATTTAGATTAAAACCCAGATTTTACAACCTTTGATTTGTGTTAGTCAACTAGTAGTTAAAGAAAGATTGAATTAAGTGTTAGAAAATAGTCATTATGGGATCGACAAACCGGACTCTTAGGTCTGCTATTACTTGTTACGGGTCGTACACTTGCGAAACAAAATTTCACAACAAATTTTTGGCGCCGTTGTCGGAGACTATTTCTTCTAGTCTCAATTAATTTATATTTTAACTGTTATTTGATTTATTTATTTTTCTTTTATTTACAGAAAATTGTGTTCGTTGTATGCTCCGTGCCCAAGGCGACGATCTTGAACCATTTGATTCGGAGATAGAACGTACTTTCAGACAAAGACGCAAAGAACACAAACAAAAACAGCAATGTCAAATGGCTGACAATTAACAAATCCATATCCCTATTCAGCCGATTAGACAAATGGCAGCAAGAGTGGCACCACCGAAACAACAGCATGAGCGAGGGGAAGTAAATGAATGTGATTTGCCAGTATCAATGTTCCTGACACCTATAACAGCACCCAGGCGCTCCAGTATCATGTATCCAGATTTTAGGGTGAATAACTTTCAGATCAGGCCAAATTAGATTAACTTGATGAGCAACACCCTACAATTCTACGGGCTACCTCAAGAGAATCCAAACATGCATATCTCTAGATTTCTCAGAAACTGTCAGAACTTTCATGCTCCGAGGGTCAATGAAGATGCTATTAAACTACAACTATTTCCATTTACATTGAGAGACGCTGCATTAGAGTGGTTAGATGCTGAGCCTCACGCTAGCATTACTACATGGGAAGAACTAATCAGGAAGTTCTGTAATAAATTTTTCCCACCGGCAAGGGTAGTTAAAATCAGATTGGAAATTCAAACTTTTCAACAGAAAAATGGAGAAAGCTATCACGAAGTATGGAATAAGTTTAATGAGATGATGAGAAAATGACCAAACCATGGAATTACTATAGGTAATCAAGTGCAGTACTTTTATACTGGACTTACACCACTGTCAAAATCCCAAGTCGATACCTCAGCTAGAGGATCAATTATAGGAAAATCTGTGTAGCAAACCATGGAACTGTTTGAGTTGATTGCCACTACACATTCAATGTTCTCATCAGAAAGAGTGACGCCATCGAAGACTGGAGGAATGTATGAGTTAGACAGCACAGCAGCTACTAACGCCCAAATAATAGCATTGACAAAACAGGTGGAGTTATTGGTAAAATAAAAAATGAAAGGAGCACATGCAGTGACAGCTGGTCCATCATGCAAGAACTATGGGGCTAATCATCTGGCAGAAAACTGCACATCTATAGGCTATCCCGATGAACAGGTCAATTTCATTCAGAATGGGTCTCGAAATTTTAATCCATTTGCTCAAACATACAACCTAGGATGGAGACAACACCCAAACTTTAGATGGTCGGATAATCAACAAAGGAATAGTTCAAATAATGCCCAACAGGAGAAAAAACCAAGTTTGGGGGAGATGTTCAACCAGTACATGTAGAGGACTGACAAGGTGTTTCAGCAGATTGACATTAACTTTCAGAATCAGCAAGCATCAATCAAGAAGTTGGAAACACAAATTGGTCAGATAGCTCAACAGCTTGCAGAACGTCGATGAAGGACATTGCCAAGTAACACAATGGTCAATCTAAAAGAGCAAGTGCAAGCTATTACTACCAGGAATGGGGTACAACTTCTAGAAATACATGTGAAGAGACCAAAGCGAAAAGGAAAGGAAATAATGGGTAAAGAGGCTGGGACAGAAGTCGAGTTTGAACAGCCAACTGATAAGGAGAACGAAAGGAAAGAAACACCTGCAGTGAGAGCACTCAGCCCCGTGAAGGCTTATGTGCCACGAATTCCCTTCCCTCAAAGGTTACAAAGAAAGAAGTTGGATAATCAATTTGCCAAGTTTGTGGAGATTTTCAAGAAACTGCACATCAATATTCCTTTTGCAGACACAATTGCCCAAATGCCCAGCTATACAAAATTCTTGAAAGAGATCCTATCTAACAAAAGGAAGCTGGAAGAACATGAGATCGTATGCTTGAACGAGGAGTACAGTGCAATACTATTGAGAAAGCAACACCCTAAATTAAAAGACCCAGGGAGTTTCACTATACCTTGCACAATTGGTTCTAATTTCTTTGAACATTCTTTATGTGATTTAGGTGCCAGTGTTAATTTGATGCCTCTCTCTGTTTACATGCCTCTTGGATTAGGAGAAGCAAAACCTACAACAATCTCTTTGTAACTGGCCGACAGATCGATCAAACGACCAAAGGGAATTATTGAAGATGTGCTGGTAAAAGTTGACAAATTTATTTTTCCAGTTGATTTCATTATTTTGGACATGGAAGAGGACTCAAATATTCCTCTGATCTTGGGAAGACCGTTCTTGGCTACTGGGAGAGCATTGATGATGTTTATGATGGAAAAATGATTCTTCGAATGGACAATGAGCAAGTCATATTCAACGTGTTCAAGGTAATGAAACACCTATTAACTTTCGACACTTGCTGCCAAGTTGATGTTCTTGAAGAGCTTGTGGCGGATACATTTGATATAGAGCATCACACAAATCTTTGTGAGGTAGAACTTGCTCAATTAGAAGCACCAAATGCAGGAAAAGCTAAATGTGTTATCAACTTAGCCGAGCAACCTATAGGAAGAAGGCATTGGCAGTACGAATCTTTAGGAGACAATCCTTCTCCCCCGGTACCCTCAGTGGAAAAGGCACCCACTCTTGAACTAAAGCCCTTACCTTTCTATCTTCGTTATGCATATTTGGGAGAATCTTCAACACTACCAGTAATCATTGCAAATGATATGACAAGGGAGGAGAAGAATCAATTGTTGGAGGTACTTAGGTAGCACAAAATGGCAATTGGCTGGACAATAACTGACATAAGAGAGATCAGTCCAACTCTTTGCATGCACAAGACGGGTCAAGGGCATCGGTGGAAGGACAACGTCGATTGAATCCAACATTGAAAGAAGTCGTGCGAAAAGAAGTGCTGAAATTACTGGATGTAGGAATAATTTATCACATAGCTGATAGTTCGTGGGTGAGTCCTGTACATGTTGTACCTAAAAGGGTAGAATCACAGTGGAGAAGAACGAGAACAACGAGATGATACCAACACGGTTAGTGACAGGGTGGAGAGTATGCATAGATTATAGAAAGCTAAATAATTCGACCAGAAATGACCATTTTCCATTGCCATTCATTGATCAAATGTTGGAAAGGTTGGCAGAACATTCTCATTATTGCTTTTTGGACGGATATTCAGGATACAATCAAATAGTAATTCCTCCAGAAGACCAAGAGAAGACACCTTCACATGCCCTTGTGGAACGTTTGCGTTTAGAAGAATGCCTTTTGGTTTATGCAATGCACCGGCAACCTTTCAACGATGCATGATGGCCATCTTTCCTGACATGGTAGAAAAGTACATTGAGGTTTTTATGGACGATTTTTCTGTGTTTGGAGATTCTTTTGATGATTGCTTGGAGCGGTTGGCTCTTGTATTGCAAAGATGTGAGGAGAAGAACCTTGTGCTTAATTGAGAAAAATGTCATTTCATGGTAAAGGAAGGAATAGTACTGGGACATCGAATTTCTGCACAGGGGATTAAAGTGGACAAAGCCAAAATACAGGTGATTGAGAAATTGCAGTCACCTAATTCAGTAAAGGGGATCAGGAGTTTTCTAGGACATGCAGGGTTTTATAGAAGATTCATTCAAGACTTTGCAAAAATTACAAAACCGTTGTGCAACCTGCTGGAGAAAGATATACCATTTCAATTTTTTGATGAGTGTTTGAAAGCTTTCAACACTTTGAAAGAAAAATTGACATCGGCACTTGTGATAGTGGCTCTAGATTGAGAATTGCCTTTTGAGCTCATGTGTGACGCCAGTGACTTTGCAGTGGGGGCAGTGCTTGGACAACGCAACGGAAAAGTATTTCATGTTATCTACTATGCTAGCAAAACATTGAATGATGCTCAGATCAACTATGCAACACTGAAAAAAAATTGCTTGCAATTGTTTTTGCTTTTGACAAATTCCGTTCTTATTTGATTGGGTCCAATGTGATAGTTTATACAGACCATGCAGCTCTGAAGTATTTGTTTGAGAAGAAGGACGCGAAACCAAGGCTAATTCGCTGGGTGCTATTGCTACAAGAATTTGACATCGAGATACGTGATAAAAAAAGAAACAGAAAATCAGGTAGCGAATCACTTATCAAGGATAGAGCAACAGCAGGATTCAGATGATATGAATATTAATGAGGTCTTCCCAGATGAACAGTTACTGGAAGTAGAAAAAGCTCCATGGTATGCAGACATTGTTAATTACTTAGCCAGTGGCTATGTGGATCCGAATCTCACCTCTCAGCAAAAGAAGAAGCTCAGTCATGAAGCGAAATTCTATTACTGGGATGATCCAAATTTATATAGGAGAGGGACGGACCAGATCATTAGGAGATGTGTGCCTGAGGATGAAATGAAACCGATCCTTTCACGAGTACATGCTTCGGCTTATGGAGGACACTTTGGCCCCATTAAAATAGCAACAAAGGTGCTCCAATGTGGTTTCTTTTGGCCTACATTGTTCAAGGACTGCCATAGTTTCTGTAGGTCATGCGATAAGTGTCAAAGAATAGGTAACATATCAGTAAATCACGAGATGCCACTTAAAAACATTTTGGAAGTGGAAATATTTGATGTCTAAGGGGTTGATTTTATGGGTCCGTTTCCATCATCTTACAACAATCGGTACATCGTGGTTGCGGTGGACTACGTTTCAAAATGGGTAGAAGCTAAAACATTGCTTACAAATGATGCAAGGGTGGTAGTGGACTTCATAACAAAACACATATTTAACCGCTATGGATCACCTAGGGCCATTATAAGTGATGGTGGAACGCACTTCCGCAATCGGATGTTCCAAGCAGTTTTGCATAAGTACGGGGTGCAACATCGAATTGCCACTCCTTATCACCCTCAGATAAGTGGACAGGTGGAAACGTCAAACAAATAATTGAAAAGAATTTTGGAGGTCACTGTAAATGCATCTCGCAAGGATTGGTCAAAAAAATTGGACGATGCTTTATGGGCATATCGCACAGCTTACAAGACACCTTAGGAATGTCTCCATACCGACTAGTCTTTGGGAAAGCATGTCACCTACCAATGAAATTTGAGCACAAAGCGTATTGGGCATTGAAGCAGTTAAACATGGACCTCGAAAAGGTTGGAGAAACAAGAGTACTACAGCTACATGAGTTGGAGGAATTCAGAAGAGAGACATATGAGAATGCATCCATCTATAAGGAAAGGACAAAACAGTAGCACGACAAGAACATCAGGCAACGAATTTTTCGAGTGGGGGATCAAGTGCTATTATACAATTCCCGGCTTAAGCTTTTTCCAGGAAAATTGAAGTCTCGATGGTCCGGTCCTTTTACGGTCTCTCAGGCGTTTTCTTACGGGACAGTTGAATTACACCATCGAACTAAAGAAAATTTCAAAGTAAATGACCAACGCATCAAGCATTATGTGGAAGATTTCCCCACTGCTAAAGAAAGTCTTGTTCTAGCTGTTCCCGAATAACTGTGGCACTACGTCCAGCTAATGACTTAAAAGAAGCGCTTCTTGGGAGGCAACCCAAACTGTACCCTTTATTTGATTATTGGTTTTTTCTTTGACTTTGTTTTTCCTTTAATAATCTATGCTATCGTAGTAACACATTCTTTTGTTTTTTTATTTTTTGTAGGAGAATCCATAAAAGTTACATATTGCAGAATTTGAGTTCTACAATGAAAATGAATGAGTATGATAAAAAGGAGGAATTAAAAAAATAATAATAATAATTTTTAAAAATAAAGGGGCAGTAACGCAGCGCCCAGGTGCTGTGAAACTGGAACTGCCCATTCGGGGCAGAAACGCAGCGCTTGGGCGCTGCGAACCCCTCTTCATATTTTTTTAATTTTTAATTTTACTTCTTTTCTATTTCTTATACCCTGTTCTCCTCTCCCTCTCACACTACGTATTTTTCCCCAAACCTACTCCCTCTCATCTTCTTCCCCCAACACCCTTAAATTTTCCCATTTCCTCCTCCTCCTCAACCCTACCAAAGTACCCTCTTCCTCTCTCCTTCCTTATTTAGTTTAGTTTTTTTTTTTTTTTTTTAATTTACTTTATCACCTCACCCACATCACAATTCTTTCAACTCCACATATTCTCGCCCCTCCCCTCTCTCAATCTCCCTTGTTGATTTCAAAATTTCATTGTTACTAAGTGTGAATTCATCTATTCCTATTAGTTTCCACAACACCATTTCAGGTATGGCTATTTTTGCTCCCTTTTTTTTTTCCTCTCTCACATGATAGTTGTTGCTTATATGTGCCTATTTTTGATAATTATGTTAAGAGGAGGGCTTGCTTTATTGTGGTGTCAAGAAATTTATGTATGGTGCGAATAATGTGGCATGAATTATTCTCAAAATATGGGCAATTTTTGGTGAAAATTTGGCGCCTTCAAAGTGTTTGATGGATTGCCTAGATGAACTTAGTTGGATACAAAGGAGCTATTTTGGCTATTGTCCTAATTCACTTATGTGGGTATTGCTATGTAGATGATCGTGAATTGAAATTGGGTTTAGAATACATCTATTGCACATTCGACCATAGTTCCCTCTTATGGCTAGATTTTAAGCCCTGCCTTATTTTCCTTTATTGCTGTTGTTGCTAATGGTTTGCAAGTTCTACACTTGCACAGGTCCAATGCCGCCTAAAAAGAGATCTAAAGCCGCAGCCTCCTCTTTTAGCTCATTTGACAGGAGCAAATTCATTAGTGCCAAGGCCGCTGAACGATATAATAGCCTGGTGGTACACAAGACCTGTATCCCTGAACGTGGTTTTGACAATTATATGACAGAGCAGATAGGTCGGCGGAACTGGGAAGTGTTTGCTCGGCAACCACGATCGGCGCTAATTCCAGTTGTTCGGGAGTTCTATGCCAATGCGAAGGAGCATCGAAATTTTTGAGTGTTTGTGCGGGGTAAATGGTTACCGTTTGATAGAACCTCCATCAACAGGTTTTATCATTTGTAAGATATTGAAAATGACGAGTACTCTAGACTTCGTGACGAGGGTGTTGATCCTGATGAGGTCATTCGAGTCTTGGCCACAACTGGTACTACATGGAAACGTTCGGAGACTGATGTACTTGACTTCCCTGCTTCTAGTATGACTTCGGGTTGTAAGGCTTGGCATCACTTCATTTCTGGCAAACTTATTCCCAGTAGCAATTTAAGTGAAGTAACAAAAGAACGGGCTACCCTAAATTATGTCATTCAACTGCCTATTAATTGATGTTAGTAAAATTATTCACAACATCTTACACACTTTGAGAGGATTGACGACAGGTAGTCGAGGGCACCCATCGTTGATTTATGAGCTTTGCTTAGCAGGTGGTGTTGTCACATACCTTACTGAGGAGGTCATGCACCCCAAATCGACTATCACACGAGCGCGTACTTGGAAGTTCTTATGCCGCTCCGAATCCACCAGTACTCCACCCTCTCCTCGGAGCGACTAGCCGCCCCGTTCACGCCGACCGACACTAGCTAGTGACCCCACTTCTGACCTTTCCGTTCAGTTTCATGAAATGCAATTGCAAATGAATTTGATGCAAAATACATTGTGCAAGTAATTCCATTATCAACATGAGTTCAATGCGGTATTGGCTTTGATTTACTCCAATCGAACATTTCCTCAGCCGCCTCTCCTACCTGATCACGCTGCCAATCCAATTCCTAATACCCAGGACGACGATTAACATCGTCCATCTCCCCATTTTGTTTCTATTTCACATTGAGGACAATGTTTCAGTTAATTTGGGGGGTGAATAAATTTGCTTACGTTGTTGAGTTTCTCGAATACTTGCATATGATTTGCTTGTTTTATGTGTTCATGTGTTTAGTGTTAAAAAAAATATATTATATATGCATTTTCATCTTCAGCATGCTTGTGTGAGTTAGATAGTCTTGTTAGGTATGATGAATATATTTGAGAGCATGTATTAGTTTATGGATTGTGGATGAATCATATGTTTTAATTGGATTTTCTACTTATACATATGAAGCGGTATAACATTTATACACAAGTATTAAGTTGAGCGTTGTACAGGAACATGAGGGCTCATGCACATAGGCTAAAGAGATGACTTAGGTGTGTAATCCCGTAACCCGTGAATGTCAATACCCTTTAACCGTATACTTATAATTTGGGGCATTCTAACCAGCGAAAGAAATGATTTAAGATTGTGGTGATTCCGTACATGTGAAAAAGATTGTGTGGAGTGTATTTAATTTTCTGGTATAAGCTTGGTGATGACCGAATGCTAGAAATCTAAC